AAGAATGAACTTAAATTATATACACTGTTAGAACGTAATCAGTGGAGGATATATCTAAAGGCCGCCAACATGCTGTGGGTACCCGAGAATCAGTAGCTTTTGCACGGTCCTTGTATATATATATATTAAAATATTTATTAAATATTTATAAATATTTTATTATGAACCTAATTACTAATTTAAAATCACCATAAAAACTTATAAATTTTAAATTTTGAATCCGCATATACTACAGTAGCATTTGTCTGCAAGCATTGTACCGTAGTATTTTTCTTAAAATGGGAAATCGTGAGGGAGAAGCCATGAATCTTTGTGGTGTTGGACTTTTTGTGAGGACCAAGGTACCAACAAATCAATCCAAACATTTAATAAAGCAACTCTCTGGGTACCTTTATAAATATACATATAATTAATTTTTATGCATATATAGACCGGCAATAATTATGTTACATTATTAGGATAAGTTATTTACAATAATATTTAACTATTTAAAGCAAGTCTGATCTAATTTAATTATTTGAAAAATAAAGTAAATAATTAATTTGATATAACAAGTTAAAATACCCGACAATAAAGAAAAAGGTCTTTCCAATTTCTATGTTTGTGTGTATAGGATAAGTCCAACCTACAAATGTAATTTTTAGGTTCGTGTATGATAACACACAAAAACTAAATTTAAAAAAATCATGTCTTGCATGAGTTTAATCTGTGTTTAGCACTAAGCAGGACTAGCTTTCTCTCTTTTTTTTTAATCAGTAAAAATAATGGGAGGTAGGAGGTGTAGTAATATATGGACAAATACTAAACCATGTGGAAAGTAAAAAAGAGAATTTTGAGATTCTCTAAAACGTAACTTCTATTCATGTTGCTCAGTCCTTAGGTGCGGAGTTAGAAGTCCAAAACAGGTTCGATTAAATTCAGTTGTTTTTGTATAAAAATACATTTTGATTAAGAAATTTATCACAAATGTATATATATTAAATTTTAAATTTAGTTATTAGCATTTAAAGTCATCATTCTAAAATATAGAACTATAAAATTAAAATCCTTGTTAAATCTATGATTGATGATGAGCTTGAAGCTCGGTCTGGAGCTTCAATGGAGTTTATCTAGAGAGTTCTGTGAAAGAGAAGTCATGAGAGAGAAACATAAATTGGAAAAGTGAAAGATCACTCTCATTTCTCACTGTAGTACAAAGTATATACACATGTAATACCAAAAATACAACTAATACTGAGCTAGCTGAGCTGGCCCACTAATTAACCCTACTAACTGTACAACTAACTAACATTACATATAAAACTATAATTATACAAGTCTCAACACTCCCCTCCCTCAAGTTGAAGGTGTTGTAAACACTGCCACTTGCCCAATATCGCTGAATGCTTTACTCCTGTTAGGGCCTTGGTGAGAACATCAGCCAACTGATTGTCTGTTGCTACATGATGGAGTGAAATCAGCCCTTCCTGCAGCTTGCTCCTTACAAAATGACAGTCCACCTCTATGTGCTTGGTCTTCTCATGAAACACAAGGTTTCTAGCTCTGTGTAGAGCCGATTGGCTATCACAAAAGACTTCCACAGGTTTAGCAAAGGGCACAATAAGCTCTTAAGTAATCTGCATAGCCACACCAGCCCCCCTACTACTTTTCTGAGTGCCCTGTATTCTGCCTCTGCTGATGAGAGTGAAATAGTCTCTTGTTTCTTGGATTTCCAGCACACAGAACTATTTTCTAATAGAATTATGTATCCACTCACTGACTTCCTTGAGTCTAGGCAAGAAGCCCAATCAGAGTCACAATAAGCTTTGATATTACAGTTTGCATCATGTGACATGAAGATCCCTATGGTGGGATCACCCTTCAAGTACCTGAGTAAGTGAAAAGCTGCTTTCAAGTGGGGTTCTCTTGGATCTTATATGAATTGGCTAAGGTGTTGTACACTATAAGCTATGTCCATCCTTGTGTTGGTAAGGAAGTTCAATTTTCCAATTAGTTTCCTGTAATAGGTTGGATCAGTTAAGGCAGTGCCCTCTTTAGCTTTCAACTTCACTGTTGGATTAAGTAGTGAGCGAAAGCTATTGTAATCCATACGATTATACTCCTTTAGCAGATCAAGCAAAAACTTTCTTTGTAATATTACAACTCCATCAGCCTTATAGAGTATCTCGAGCCCCAGAAAGTAGTGCATATTTCCCAGGTCTTTAATTTTGAAGATGTCATATAGAAATGCCTTCAGTTCCTCTATCTCCTTTTTATTTGTTCCTGTCAAGATCACATCATCTACATATACTGCCACATATAATGTTGACTCAGATGTCTTCTTATAGAAAAGTGAGTAATCATACATAGAATAAGTGTATCCTCTACAACACAGTGCTTCACTCAATTTGGCATACTGTTGTCTACTTGCTTGCTTAGGACTATACAAGGACTTCTTGAGTTTGCATACTAGATTCCCACTGTCTACTACTAAGCCTTGTGGCACTTTCATATATACTTATTCATGGAGATCCCCATGAAGAAAGGCATTATTCACATTTAACTGGAATATGTCCCAGCCTTTCTTGACTGCAGCAGCTATGAGGGCCCTTACTGTTGTGATTTTCACTACAGGGCTGAATGTTTCTGTATAATCAATGCCAGCTTGCTAGGTATAGCCCTTTACTACCAACCTAACCTTGAACCTTTCTATGCTACCATCTGCCTTATGTTTTACTTTGTACACCTACTTACACCCTATGGCTTATTTCCCAACTGATAGTGGTACTAGCTCTCATGTGTTGTTGGCATGTCGTGCTTCAAATTCCTATATCATGGCTGCTTGCCAGGTAGGATTCACAACTGCTTCTTCATATGAAGTAGGCTCTTTATCACTGCAAATACTTCTCACAAGGTACTGACTGTCCTAGCTTAGATTCTCAGCAGGTATATGATGGTGGAGAGAAAATGGGGCATTAAGAGAAAAGGGTGCATTAATTTGGTCATTGGCATTGTGCTCACTGATATTTGGTTTCAGCTAGGGTAATTTATGGACATAGTCCTTCAAGTATATGTGAACTTTGTGTGTTCTATGAGATTGTCTTGGTTGCAAAACATGTCTGGGTGAGGTATTTCTTATAGAACTTATTGGTGAATTATTTGGTGAGTTATCTGGAACAGGTAAATCTCCAATGTTAGGAGAGTGTGGCGAGGGAAATGGATCAGATGAGAGATCTGGATATGTGACATCCAGAACCCCTTGATCATTTTGCTCATTAGTTTGAGTATGCTCATTGTCACTAGACACATGATAAATAAAAGGAATAGATTTGAGAAGACAAGGGAAGGTAGCATTATCCTAGGACATACTGAAAGGAAAGACATTTTCATTAAATACTACATCTCTAGATACATGTATTTTCTTATTGGCCAAACTGAGCACTTTGTACCCTTTTACCCCAAAAGGATATCCAACAAAGACATGAGGTGTGGTTCTAGGTTCAAATTTAACTCTGTGGACCTTGGGTATTGTAGGGTAGCACAAGCAACCAAAACTCCTCATACGAGAGTAAGTGGGTTTTCTGTTGTATAGTTGTTCATATGGTGAATTGCCCTTGGAATGAGAGGAGGGCAGTCTATTTATTATATAGGTTGCACATATGATACATTCATCCCAATATCTTAGAGGTAATTTTGACTGAAATAAGAGGACTCTAGCAGTTTCTAATAAGTGCATATGCTTTCTTTCTACTATGCCATTTTGTTGTGGTGTATAGGGACGTGTCTTTTGGTGGATGATCCCTTTAGAAAGAAAAAACTGACTTGCCTCTTGTTGTTAAACTCTAGATCATTGTTTGACCTTATGAAATTGATGGTGGTGTTGAATTGGTTTTCAATCATTGATACAAAGCTTTTGATGACATGTAGGGCAATATGTTTGCTGGTTAATAGGTTGGTCTAGGTGGACCTACTATAATCATCAACCATTGTAATAAAATATATGAAGTTATCATGAGTTGGCATGTGGTAGGGACCCCAGAGATCAACATGGAGCATTTGAAAGATTTTGGTAGAATTGGTAGATTTCTATGGGAATGGCAATCTCCCATGTGTTTCCATTGGGAAGACAAAGCAGGTAAAAAGCTGTTTTTGTGAAAAAGATGCTGGAATACTGGATATTCCCTTCATCTTGGCAAAGGGAACATGACCCAGTCTGTTATACTACAACACATTCATATCATTACTTGGAGAGATAGAATAAATAATGATATTCACAATAGGGAATTGCACTTTATTATATGGGGAACAAGTATTTACAGCTGAATAAGATATGCAATTATCCCTAGACAATGAACTATTTACAATGGAATGATGAAAACAATGTGAATTATGTGTGCAGCGGGTGGAAGAAGTAGAACTAGTAATTGAACTATTAACAGTTGATTTTGAATAGTTGTTCCTCATACACCTTGGGCAGATATAGGTCATCACTGGCTTTGCCAATTTTCAGAGACCTCTTCATTGAATGGGCCTATAGAAGACAAATATTATTAGTAAAGGCAACTATGCTTGAGGGGTTGAACTGGTTAATGAATGAATTGATATGAGATTACATTTGAAGGATGGTATATACATGACTTTGTACAAAATGATCTTGGGAAGCAATGTCACACTTCCAATTTGTGTCATGTTAACCTTATATTCATTTGGAAGGACTACTAATAAGGGATATGGCAGAGTTACAATATTGGTTAATAGAGATATATTGAAGGTCATGTGATTAGAGGCTCCTGAATGTAATATCCAGGAGTCAGCCTTGTTTTTTAAGCATTCACAATACAATTTGCTAAAATCAATGGAAGAAGTGCAGACTATTATACCTGCAAAGTTTACAGCACCATTGAGAGGGTTTGTGAAGCAGGAACTCTCTCCTCCTGTCCCAATCTGAAAATGTTGTAGCAAATTCTGGATCTGTCCATATTGTTCTTAGAGAGATTGACATGCCCAACCTTATCTACATCTTATGATCCATCATTTTTAGCCAGCATTGCTTCAGTATGGGTACCTTGCACACTGGCTACTATTCTCCTTCTCTTGTTAAACCTTACAGCTTGATTCATATTCTGTCCTGCATTTGAACTCTGAGTGTGTGAATTTCCAAAGCTCTGAGGGTACCCGTGCAGTTTGTAGTACTTGTCCTTGGTATGCCCTGGTCTCTTACAATAGTCACAAAATGGTCGAGGCCTATTGCCTCCAGTGGAATTGTTATTGGCAGAGTAATTTGTTCTGTAGGTACCAAGTTTTGATGTGTTGATATTTAGGGCAGTAGACTCAAGAAATATTTGGTTATTTGGTTTGATCTCTCTTTGCTTCTCATCTTGAATGAGTAGTGAAAAAGCCTGTGCAAGAGTTGGCAGCAGAGTCATCATAAAATAGCTTCCACAGACGACATTGTAGATCCCATTAAGTCCCACGAGGAACTGTATTAATCTCCTGTCCTGCTCGGCCTTGTCCATGTTCTCCTTGGCACCACAGGTAAAGGTACAGTTGTAGTGTGTCTTCTTACTCAAAGTATTCAGCTCTTCCCAGAGCTTTTTCAACTTAATGTAATAACCCGTAATGTCCAGCACACCCTGGGACAGATCGTTTATTTCCTTTTAGATTTGGTACAGCCTAGCAACACTAGTTTGCTCATAGCGATCCTCCAATTATCTCCACAGTTCAACAGCATTATTAGCATATTCCACAGTGTCTGCAATGTCTTTGGAGAGTGAATTTACAATCCAAGATGTTACCATATCGTCGCATCGCTCCCACTGACGAAACCTTTGAGACTGAGGATCTGGTAATTTGCACTCCCCACTTATAAATCCTAACTTATTTTTGATGGAAAAACCTCGCATGACACTACACCTCGAATATCTATACCCAATTCCACTGAAAGGAACTGAGACGAGCATCGCTCTAAGGTTGTTTGATGGATGTAGATAGAGCGGATCACTCGGATCTATTCCGGTGCTCTTCGCGACAGCGACGCTAGTATCACCAACAGATGCATCTTCCTGATCTAGTACATCCATAAGTAGATGAATTTGTTGTGTCACGCACTGATTTCAGGTGAAATTTGAAGAATCAGCTATTAATTTTGCAATTCAAACGGACTAGGGCAAATAACGATCGAACTCGAGAGAGGCCCAGAAGAAAGAAACTGGTAGATGAAACTAAGAGAGACGATGACAGCTAGTCGAGCATGAGCTTCCTCGCTCTGATACCATGTTAAATATGTGATTGATGATGAGCTTGAAGCTCGATCTAGAGCTTCAATACAGTCCTTCTAGAGGGTTCAATGAAAGAGAAGTCATGAGAGAGAAACAACAATTGGGAAAGTGAAAGCTCACTCTCATTTGTTAGTGTAATACAAAGTATATAGACGTGTAATACCAAAAATACAACTAATGCTGAGCCGGTTGAGCTGACCCACTAATTAACCCTACTAAATGTACAACTAACTAACATACATATGAAAGTATAATTATACAAGTCTCAACAATCCTCATTTCGCCTCTTTCAGTCCTAACTACACTATAATGTGAAATGCAAACATGAATAACGTAAATAACATCACCTGGCTCGATCTCATTAACTAAAGCTCAACAACCTTTGAACCCACATTAACATTGATATGTAATTTTATGAGCTAACTTTAAAAATATAGTCTTGGCACTTATTCGTGTATCTAAACATAGTGTTAATATGTTAATTAAGAAATTTAGTTAGAGAATCTATAAGAGCAAATACAGTTTTTTTTGCCGGCCAAGTAGCTCGATTGCTGTAGTACGCCACGAATTTTTATCGGTGACCTTTTTAAGGAATAATGTCTAACTTTTCTCCCCGTTAACAAAAGCAATACAAATATAGGTATTCGTCAAAACTTCTCCTTCTCCTTCTTCTTCTTCCGTAGAAACTTACAGATCTTCTCCTTCTTTCTCCTCTTTCTTCTAAGGGAACTAATGGAAAAAATCGAAAAACAACGAGAACCCAGATAGAAAAATCAAAAAAGAATGAGATCACACTTGAAAAAAATTAAAACAAAAAACAAGAATTAATTTTGGCTTGGGACTACTTGATGAATCAAAAGTGATGTAAGGATCCATTAATGGTAGTAGAGATGAGGAACTGGATAGATGAGAACTTTAACAATTTATAACGATTCGATCAGTTACTTTGAGTATTTACACTTTGTTCGGTAGTTTAAGGTCTCGACAAGCTTCATATTATATATATTGACTTGCATGTATGGGTAGTATCGGTTGTCGAGTGATTCGTGATTTATTTGGAATAATGATTCTCATTTAAAGGTATTACCGGACGGACTGGTCTGGGCTTGATACAAAAAAAATAGCCCATCTGGTCATTGTTTTAGGCTGGTTAGTGGACTGGGGTTCCGGGCTGGTAGTGGGCTGGGATTTTTCGGGTTTTGGTGGACTCGTCCGGGTTCAAGCTTAACGGGTCCGGACCGGGCTGGCTAAATCATTTTTTATTATATTTTGTTTTTCTTATTCATTATTATTGATACTTAAGTATTTGCAAACTTTTAAGACTTTGAATTAAACTTTAAAGTTTAAAGTTTTAAATTAGAAATTTGAATTTTAAAATTATAAAATTAAAATTTGAAATTAAGTGGCTACAAAAAATTATTTAATAAGACCAATAGGCAATATGTAAGGATCAAACTCCGAAATCTTTCGTTTTATATTTTCATTGAATAATAAATAATACTTCAAATTAATTTGCAAGTTCTATTTTGATTTTTTTATTTTTGAACTTGCAAATTAAAAGTTTACAACAATTATAAAAAATAAAGAGTACATCACATGCTTTGCATTATTTTTTTAAGTTCATCCATGTCAACATGAGGTTCTTGATTTACGGCATTGCTTGAATCGGAACCATAAACCATTATATCTCCAATTTCTTGATACTCCGCTTTATCTACCTCTTCACGCACTTGATTTTGCCGTTCTGATCTTATCCAATCTCTGAAGCACACTAGAATTTTCAAAGCGTTGCTACTCAATGAATGACGGGTATCTCCTAGTTGTTGCCTTTCTTGGCTAAATGCGCCCTCTGATGCGACTGTTGAAATCGGCACATTTAGCACGTCTCGAGCCATGGCCGAAAGAACAGGAAATTAATTTAAGTTGCTCCTCCACCAAACCAGCGATATAAATTCCTTTGTGCGGGCTCCGGTGACTTTTGCAAGTAGAATTGGAGTTCATCAATGTTCTTGCTACTGGTTTATTGATGCTCTCCTAGTGTAGACCAAATCAAATAATTTTTAACACCATCATTATTCTCCAAAGCACCGGATGCAGATGTTGAAACTGAACTTGAAGGAATATTTGCATCTACAGCAGTAGAAGCATCAACAATGTTAGCATAATAATTATATAAAGTTTGTAAATGTTTATGTAGATCAAAAATACAAGTTTCGGATGCCGCACTAAATTTGATATCAAATTTCAGTTGATAGACTGATACTTGATATTTGATGACATTGAATATTGATACCACACTTCACTTGAATACTTGATATTATAATTTTGTAGTCACTAAAGTAAATATTTGATGAAACTTGAAATAATAAGTGATTGAAAATTTAAGAGCGATAAGCAATATTATCAAGAGAGAATTAGAGTAGTAAGAGAGAAAATTATGAGAAAAATGAAGAAGAAGGGGGGCTATTTATAGTTTTTGAAAGGTTAAAATTATAATTTATGAATTGTTAGGGGTGGGGCTATTTTCTTAAGGGGTAGGCCGAAATGGCCATTTTTGCAAAATATGGTTGTTGCCCAACGGTCATTTTTTAATATGACCGTTGGCAACAGTCCAGAAAAAAAAATTAGAAGGTAACCGTTTGGACTGGGTTGTAGCCAGGTANTCTGACCCGGGCTGAACCAGGTCGAACCGGGCTATAACTGGGTTGGCCACCCCGATTAACAGGTCTATTCTCATTTAAGAATCTTTAGGTTGGAAGAGTTGACTAAGTTTGACTTTTACGTATTTGATATCGGATCGGAGTTTTAATGGTTCCGTTAGGTTCGGATGGTGATTTTGGACTTAGGCATATGCCCGGATTTGAATTTGGAGGTTCCTAGGTAGATTTGATTTATTTTATCAAAAGTTAGCAATTTGAAGGTTTAGAATTTTCCTAAGTTTGACCATGGTTTTACTTTATGGCTATCGGGTTCGGATTTTAGTTTCGGGACTTGGAATAGGCTATTTTGTCATTTGTGACTTGTCTGCAAAGTTTGGAGTCATTCCGAGGTGATTTGATAGGAATCAGACACGTGGTTGTGTTTTTAGAAGTTCTCGAAGTTCATTGTGATTTTCATGTGTTTTGATGGCCACGGCCGATTCATGATTTCGGATGTTATATTGGTTTCTTAATGGCGCGAGTGAGTTAGTCTAATTTTTTAGACTTGTGTGAATGTTTGGTGTGGAGCCCCGAGGGCTCGGGTGAGTTTCGAATGCATTTTGGAGTGTTTGGGAGAGGTTCAGATTTTGCTGGTGTTCAGGTCTCGCATTTGCGAGGAAAATCATTCTCGCTTTTGCAATTCTGGGTTGCTGGGAAGAGACCTCGCATTTGCGAGTAAAAACATCACATTTACAATGTTGGGTTTTGCTTTTGCGGACAGGATTGTCGCTTTTGCGACAGGTGGATGGAAGAGGAAGCTTCGCATTTGCGAAGTATTATGTCGCAAATACGACTTTAACAGTGATTCTCAGAGGTCGCTTTTGCTGGCATTTGTTCGCTTTTGCGAACCCCTGGTTGTAAATGCGATATCTGCACCTGATTATATGAGTAAGTAATTTTATGGGAGAGATTTCATACCAAACTATTGAGTAAGTAATTTTGATCAATCTTCAATTATATTACATAATTATTTATGAGACTTAACACCAAAATCATGAGATTTGAAGGGAAAATTTAGGGATTTTTGACTATGTTTTGAAAAATAAAAATTTGAGAGTTGAATTGGACTCGAATTTTAAAATAAAACACATATATGTACTCGTGGGGTTACGGATAGTCAAGATCTACCCTTGGACCCGGGTTTTGACCGGGCGGATACAGGGTTATAATTTTTTTTTTATTTTTAACTTTTGAGAAATTATGTAAAGATCATAGCTTTATTAGTTGTAATGGGTTTCTCTTGCATTGTTTGATGATATTAAGACGTTTTTGATAGATTTGATACGTGCGGAGGCGAATTTTAAAGAAAAAGCTATTTTTGAGCGTTGATATGGCCTAGTTGAGATAAGTATCTAACTTTGTATGGGGGAACTATCCCTTAGTATTGGGTTTGATTGTACAATTTCATTTATGTGAAAGACGCGTACATGAAGTGACGAGTGTGTACACAGGCTTATATGTGGTATTTGACCGGTTTAGACTCTTGGGGTTACTTATAAGCATTTAATTGAAGCTATTATTATATGATCTATCTTATGGTGTCAAGTTTATCCTTACCTGCTTTAATTAAAGTTGTCATTACGTGTTCTAGTTTTTATTGTCGAGGTTATTCTTATATGCATTTATTAGTAGTTGTTGCTACATACTATTCTTTCCATTGTCGAGTTATTCTCATGCATTTAGTTGTATTTGCTATTTCATGCTATCTCTTTCATAATTTATACACTAGAATTTGAAGTTGCCATTTCATAGAAATACCTTCATTTTTGAGTTATTGAAGTTATAGTTGTTAAGAGCTATAAATACATTTGTGGTTGAAATTATTGGTTATTGGAATACCTTTTTGTCATGATCCGAATTTTCCTCCGTAGGATGTCGTGATGGCACCTAGTCTCTAAAACTAGGTAAACCTATCAATTATGCGGAATACCAAAACTGAAACTCAAATCTCAACATATAAAATAAATCAAACCGCGATTCAAATAGTCACAACTCCCAAAACACGGTAGAAATAAGTCACAGGCTTCTAAGAATTTATTCTAAGTGTCTCTATACATCAGAGTCTAAAGAGAAATACGAAAATCAGCACAATAAGGATAGAAT